TTCTTGACATCATGGTTTTTCTTTTCTTTTCTGGTCACAACATTGGCTTTGGAAAGACCCGCAGATTCTGATTTTTCCCTCTCCTTCGATTCCTCCTCGATTCGAAGATGTTTTTGGATTTTCTCCAAGGAAAAGTCATCAGAGCTGTGCAACAGTTTCTTTTTATAGCCTTTCCACGAACTTGGTAACTTAGCAATGATTGCACCAACTTGAAAGGTTTCAGGAATGTCTATTTTCACCGCTTTGATTTTGTTCACCAGGACTTGCAATTCGTGCACTTGGGGAAGTATGGGCTTGGAATCTATAAATTTAAAATCAAAGTATTTAGAAATTAAGAACTTCTTCGTACCTTCTTCTTCGGCTTTGAATTTAAACTCCAGTGAATTCCATATGTCTCTAGCGGACGGATTGTCCGTGTATAGGTCGTATAGGCGGTCAGACAGCGTGTTCAGAATATGTCCACGACATAGTAATTCGTCCTCCCTTCGCAGCATGCGCTTCTTCTTGAGTTCGTCAGAATCATCTTCAGTTGGTTCTGGAATTGGTGTCAGATCAGGATTCAAGACGTAGTGAACCTTGAGTGCAGTAAGCAGGAATGTCATCTTGTCTTGCCATCTGGTAAAGTTGTTTCCATCGAAGCGATCCAATTTGACAAGATCCTGATTCATAACCTTGATGCTTGAAACAGCAGCGTCGGAATCCATGATACAAATACTTTTAAGATTGTTAGATAATGCTTCAATGTCGAATGGATCCAGACTGAATCGTGAACGAAATCACTTTCCTTAAAAGTATTTCAAGCACACTCTCAAATTATCTTAGAGTTGGAACGGCCTGAATACCCAGGATAAGTCAGCCCTTTTCTCGAAACTGCACAAGACTGGTGAAGTTTCGAATGCAAGGAAAACGTTTGGAATTATATAGAAGAGGATATCAGATTTTTGGAGTATTTGATTTCGAAGTATCACACATATATTTATAGCCATGCATGTGTCGTTTCGGAAGTTTGCAACTCTTCATAAACAGCACTCTCTAATGAGCATTTGCAATGGTTCAAATAAAATGTCATGCACCACTTCATGAAGTGTCATATATTTCGAATTCAAATTCAAAAATCAAACTCTAGGCAACGAATAAAATCTGGAGCGACAATTAAAACAAATTCGCAGTATACCGGCCGGAGCGCCACCGGCGCTGCCTCATTAACGCCGCGAATAGCCTGATTGCTCCGATGCGTCGTGCCTAAGTGCTCAAGTGACGTCTACAAGCCGCCACTAGCGCCTCTACGCCCACGCCCTCGGATCCGGTTCCGGATCCGGAGCCGGAGTCGGTGTCGCCGGTGGCGACACCGACGAGGGGTGTTTTGTATGAGACAAGTGACATAAGTCTTGGCACCACCACATATGACTATGTGGCACTTTATCCTCTTTGCCTCCTTTGGAAAGTACATTGTTCCAAGGGCCTTATAAATGCTATTTAATTTTACTCCACTTCCAATGTGGGACTAAGCATTTATTGTCAATTAACTATATCACCCACTTTGTCATTTTGGAACAACTTTAATGGAAATAAATCTTTATTATTTCCAACATATAGCAGCAGAATGGCTGTCTAGCTTGGTGAAAATAGCGGTTGCTGGTAATATGCTCTCTCAATTCTTGATTCTTGGTCAACCAACAGTGAGTATTCTCCAATTTGCTGACGATACTCTTCTCATTGAAGATGGGTCGGCGTCTAATATTTGGGCTTTCAAAGCTATTCTTAGGGCCTTCGAGCTAATTTCAGGTCTCAAAACTAATTATTCCAAAAGCTGTTTGTATGGGACTCATATTGAACCTGACTTTTTAATGGCTGCTGAAGATTTTCTTCATTGTAAATCCGGAAAGATGCCTTTTAACTTCCTTGGTATCACAGTTGGAGGTAACCATCAGAGATACTCTTTCTGGAAACCGGTTCTGCTGTATCTGAAGAATAAACTTTCCATCTGGAATGGGAGAAACTTATCTATGGGGGGTAGAGTTACCCTCATAAATTCGATTCTTGCAAATCTGCCTATCCACTATCTGGCTTTCTTCAAGGCTCCTTAAAAGGTCGTGAAGGCTTTAATAGCGATCCAACGGCGGTTCTTATGGGCTGGGAACTCGAGCAATTCTTTTATCCCTTGGGTTTCTTGGAATTCTGTTTGTAGATCTAAGGAAGATGGCGGTCTGGGTATTAAGCATGTGGGTCTGGGTATTAAGCATGTGGGTCGGTTCAACAGTGTCTTGTTAGCAAAGTGGCTCTAGAGGTTCCAAACTGGCGGCAATGAAATATGGAGAAACACCCTCACTATCAGATATGACAACCTTAGCATTAAGACGCAGACTTACTCCGATGTTGTTAGTTCTAAATCAGATTCGTTGTGGATGAAGGATATTATGACCAATGCGTCACTAAGATCTCAGTCCAACTTCTGCAAGTTCACGATCTGCTCAATTGGTGAAGGTAATGATGTGGCGTTCTGGCAGTCTGGATCGGCGAGATGCCGCTAAAAGTCAGATTTAATGGCTTGTTTCAGTGCTGCCCTTTGAAGTCAGTGTCAGTCCGTAACATGGGATACTGGGAGGATGGGCAGTGGAATTGGAACCTCAGAAATTCATTGTTGGATTCAGACAATCCCCCTGAACCAGATTGGTCTGACTGCTGTAAGTTGCTGGAAAATATCTCAGTTATCCCGGGTGAATCCGACAAATGACGGTGGAGTCTTCATGAATCTCTAATTTTCAAGGTTAGCTCTCTTTATCCAATCCTATATCCCTCTCTATCTGAACAAGACATTGGCTCAGATTGTGCTACCCATATTGGGTCCATCTGGAAGACGGTCATTCCGACGAAAGTGCAAACGCTCAGTTGGAGATTGACGCTTGATAGATTGCCTACGAGATCTAATCTATTGAAGAGAATGGTGCTTAATTCCGAGCAAGATTTGGACTGTGTGTTTTGTTCCAGTAGCCTGGAGGATGTTTCCCATCTTTTTTTCTCGTGCTATAAATCTACTCAGGTTTGGAACAAGATCTGTGAATGAGCGGATATAGACATAATTTCGGAAAATTGTTGTTATTCTCACGCTAAGGTGTGGAACACAAGCCTTAGAGGTCGGTGTCAAGCGAATAGAGTTAACTCGATCCGGAGGTATAGAAATGATTGTATTTTTAATAATGTAGTTACTGAGGTCGACAATATTGTATTCGACATTAAACTCAATTCTTGGAGTTGGTTGATTCTAGGCAGGAAGGGGAGTAAGCCGTGTTGCTTGTACGATTGGTTCAAATTTTCTTTCGACTTCTTATAATTGTATCTTGGTTTGAGATTTCCTTAATCTCCTTTTTAATATTATCTGCTTATAAAAAAAAAAACAAATCATAATTTATATAAACTTGAGCATAATTAAAAAAATAATTAAAGTCATTGAAACATAAAATAAACTTGAGCATAATTAAAAAAATAATTAAAGTCATTGAAACACAAAATAAACTTGAGCATAATTAAAAAATAATTAAAGTCATTGAAACACAAAATCAACCTGAGTTTTCAAGATCCACATTGATGACAAAGACCCACATTTATGATATTTATATATCATGTATTCATCATATTCGCATGTTGTCAATTAAACATTTAAATAATATAAAGAGTGAAAGAAGTAGAAACAAAAATGAGAGATATGGAAAGAAAGAAAAAAGAAGGAAGAAAAGTAGAAAATAGAGTATATATATATATATATATATATATATATATATATATATATATATATATATATATATATATATATATATATATATATATATATATATATATATATATATATATATATATATATATATATATATATATATATATATATATATATATATATATATATATATATATATATATATATATATATATATATATATATATATATTGCTACACACGGGAAGGAAGTTATTATTGAGATGAAACTTGATATTGAGAGGAAGTTAAGGAAATAGACGTGTTTTAATTTTCAATCAACAGTTATTTTGAGTGCCAATTAAAATTTTAGAGGGTAGTATTGAAAAAAGAATAGGCTTGCCAAAAGTAAGTTTTACCTATGGATAATATAGATAAACATGTTTTATTTATTTGTCACCAATTTGTATTTAAGCAGTTGTATTTTGAAAGATTTATTAAAAAATTGAAAAAACTAACTCTGTATCAGTTATAAACTGTATCGGTGGTTACCATAATTCTCTAAAATAACTGCACATTTTATTAGTATTTTGTTTTTTAAAAAATAAATAAATTTTAAAGGACAAAATAGGTAAGAAAAAGAGCCACTCAAAAATTTCATATCCCTTTTATAGATAGTATAGATAGAATAGATACAATTAAAAAACCTAAAAATTTAAATTTAAATAATAAAATAAAAAGCGATATGCAAAAATAAATCTAAATACTATGATAAATAAATAAATGTTAGTACCCTAAACTCGTTGAGTTGAACCCTAAACCCTATTCATATTTCATATAAATTTTGTATAAAAACCTCAAATTAGAACAAATCCTTTTCACTAGTCTAGGAAATTCCCAACCCTTATTTGTTAAGGTCCCGTTTATATATTTCTTCTTCAACATGCAATGCACAGTTTCATCTTTATTTTTTCTCAGATTTTTTTTTTGTTACAGGCATTTTTTCCCAAGATCACCTTCTTTTCCTGAAACAACTCATCAATCCGTAGCTTAACCATGGTAATTCTTCAATTTTCTTCTGTCTAGTATAATGTATAATATTAGGTATAATATTAGGTAAAAGAACACTATATTGTAACCATGCAAAATTTGAACACTATTAACCGTTTTATAATTTGATTTTAGAAGAGTAAATAACTGCGGTGTTTTTATTTATTGATTGAACTTACATTAGTTTGAGTTTACTATGATTCTTGTATATGTACGTAGATAAATGTATACACTAACCTTGTTTCTTTTCTGGTTCCTGTATGTACCTCTATATATCTCTACAGGAAAGAAAACAAAGAAAGCCTATTCTCAAAAGCGTGATTGATATGGTGACGGATAGAATTAGTTGCTTACCAGATCATGTAATAGACCATATTCTATCATACTTGCCAATTAGGGAAGCGGTGAGAACAAGTGTTTTATCGAAAATATGGAGAAACAATTGGCACACACTGCCAAATCTCGTGTTTGATAATGAATATAAAGGTACCTCGAATGTTGTTAATGAGAGCACGATTGTGAAAATTGTTGATCATGTACTTTTAGTTCATTCGGGTCCAATCAACTTGTTCAAGTTATCTAACGAAGAAAGTCTTCCCGAAATCGATATGGATAGGTGGATTCTTCATTTAACCAGAAGGTCTATTAAAGAGCTCGCGCTAGTAGTTTGGATAAACGACGCACGCTATAAGATACCTTGGTGCTTATTCACTTGCCAAAGTTTATGTCATTTAAAATTAAAGTGGTGTGTGCTTAAGCCTCCAAAGATGTTTGAAGGCTTCAGGAACTTGAAAAGTCTTGAGCTGGAGGCGCTAACAGTGGCTCAAGATGATTTTGAAAACTTGATATCCGGTTGCCCCCTACTTGAAATATTGAGATTGATAGGAATTGATGGTTTAACCCAAATTAATATCCACGCACCAAATCTAAGGGTTTTTGAAATCTCTGATGAATTTGATGGTGAATTTGATGGTATTAGCCTTGATAACACTTTCCAATTATCTACGGTAGTTGTTGATTCATGGTGGGATGTGATGTCAGAAAGCCATGAAAGTACACTGCGTGGACGCCCTAGCAATTTACTCAAAATTTTCGATAATCGACCTCACATACAGAACCTCGTGATTGGTAGTTGCTTTTTAAAGGTATAATACCCAATTATCTGAATTTACTACCGTTGAATATGAATCACAATCATGTGTGTACGCAACTCCTGATATGTATTCTGATTTAGAGCCATTTTATTTTTCTGTTTCAGTATTTCGCTGCAGGTGATTTGCCAGTAAAGCTTCCTACACCATGTGCTGATCTAAGCTATCTATCCTTAACCATACACTTGGATGACTTGAAGGAAATTTCTACCGCTCTTTGCTTGCTCAGAAGCTCACCTAATCTTCAAAAATTAAAAATATTTGTCGGTATTCATTTAGTCTGTATCTCTTTTATGTATACTATTTTTCCTCATTTGATTCATGGATTTGTAACAATTGCATGTAGGTAGAGATTGAACTGCATAATGTCCCTTTGAGACCTCTCACTGACAGCTATTCTTGGGAAGATGTATTTTCGAGGCCAGCCACACCCATCCAAGTGCGACATGTAACAATAGATAGCATCTCCGGCTTTCAACTTGAACTAGATTTTATCAAATTTCTACTTCTCTATTCGCCTGTGTTAGAAAAGATAATTGTGAAGCCTCTTGAAATTGTTGGAGCGGAGTTCCTTATCGAACTAGCTCGGTTCAAAAGAGCGTCACGAGAAGCTGAAATCATTTATATGGTTCCAAAGAGGGTCGGGAGAAGCTGAAGTTACTTATCATGTGGAAAGACTCTTCATAATGATTTGTATTCTCCACAAATTATCTAGCATATTATGACTTTTATGGTTATTATGGGCAAAGTTAAATTTGTTAATTAAGTGGCAAATTAAGAGTGATTAACACTATAGTGTTTTTGTTATTGATAATATATTCCCTAAATTGAAATTATTTAGTGTTCTCCAAACTATTGTTTGCATTTTTGGGTTCAAACATCTTACCTTCTTTGAGTATAAGGTGTACTTTTTAAGTTTTATGATGGTGGTATTTTTTTTTGGAATTCACTTTGTATTTTCTATTTTCAAGATTCACACTCAAAACCATTTCAAAAATCAAGCTTCCATTGTAATTTAGAAGCTGAATCTGAAAAGGAAGCTTAGAAAGATTAAAAGAATCTGATAATTAATGCTAGAAAGATTAATGAGTATTCTAATATTTTCCAAAAGTAAACCTTAATGACTTTGAAGAACCCTAAATAATTTTCATTCAGTGTCATGTTTTTTTAAGTAATTGTTTTACAAAATAGAATTTTCAGGCTGTTCTTCAATTTAAGATTGTATAGGTTTCTTTTTTGAGGAAGACAATGCAGAAAAACTAAAATAATAATTTGGGATTTAAATGACTAATAGGACAAAAGAAACTTAAATGACCCATATAAGAAAATATAATGTTTTATCTTTTCTTTTTTTACACGGAAGTTTGGAGGGGAAGGGGAAGAGTGATGAGAACTTTGGTAAAATGAAAAGATTTAATGAAACGAATAAAAAGATATACATAAATGAAAAGAGTGATCCTTCGTTGGGCGAGGTCTTTGCTGTAAGCTTCACGTAGTGAATTTATAATCCTTTCGTCTCTGTCCCAAGTTTAGGAGTGCTCGCTGCTATTTCCCCTAGCGAGCTATTCGCTACCTCCCTCGCTTGATGAGTTTATGCCCCTTTTGCCTTTGTCGTGAACAGTGCCAAGATTTCTGGCCTTCGCTAACTAGTTCGCCTAGCGAACTTTGTGAAGTTTTAGAGGGAGGTTCGCTGGCAGTTCGCCTAGCGAATTTGCTGTTGTTTGCTTGCTTTCTTGGTTTCTTTGCCATCTTTCTTGTGTCTTAATTTTCTACTCTTTCATGTCTAATTCCTGCACAATAACACACAAATTAAAGGTACCAAGATCCTTTCACATAATAATGCAAACCAATCAAAGCAAGAGCGATTATGAGTACTTTCTCGAAAAAAATGAGTGAAAGATGCCCACATTTGATAGCTCAATTAAGCAAAATTGGGCATCTAACAACGGCCAACGGGGCCCCTCTGCTCCCAGGGTTCTCGGGGACGATCCTCTCGTCGTCGGTCTCCCCCGCGCCGGGGGGCTGACGCTCCTTCGTCTTGGGACCCGCGGGAGGTTTCTCGGCTGCGGGTTTCACGAGCAGTGTTGGCAGCCTTGGTCTCCTCGAACCGGATATAATGGTGGGATCTCTCGAGGAAGTCTTGGAGGGTGTTTGGCCGGTGAATGGCTACAACCTCGTAGAACTTGGAGCCTAGGCGCGGGCCCTACTCCATCAGGTAGCGCTTCATATCGTCCGAAGTCGTTACTTGGGCCGCCTCCCTTGTGAATCTCTCAATGTAGTTCTTGAAAGGCTCGTCCGGGGCCTGGATGATTGCGCCCTGTGCGGTCTCCGTCTTCGGATGCCGCCTTGATGTCGTGAAAATAAATCCTTCAGGACCCTCCAAGATGTGACGGACTCATGCTACAGGCTTTTGTACCATGCCATGGCGCCTTTCCTCAGTGTTGTCAGGAAGAGCCTGCACTTGATGGCTCCCTGGACATTCCTGTAGTCGAGCATCGCCTCGATATCCTCCAGATGATCATCTGGGTCCGAGGTGTCGTCGTACGTCGAGAGCACGGATGACTTCTCCATCCCGAGGGGGATGGGGGTCACCATGATTTCCCGCGACAGAGGGGTTCTATAGTCATCCTCGTCGCTGTGAATTGGAAATTGCGGAGGCGACGGTTCGTGTCGAGGAGGTGGGTTACGCCCCCTTGGTCTTTTGACCGGGGCTTCAGGCCTATTCGCCCTTGGCTCCGGGGAACGCCTCTCCTTCCGGGGTGGCGACCTTGCTCGTTTCTTGGAGGCCACTGGTTGGGGCCTCTCCAGCTGAGGTCGGCGCCCCCGTGCTGACTTCTCCGTGGAGGAGAGCGAGATGAGGTATCCTGTTCCAGCGCGCCGATGCGCTCATTCTGTCAGAACAGTATCTGGTTTGTTTGGTTGATGGTCGGGAAGAGAGCGATCATCATTGGGTTCGCCTCAACGGGCGCAGGGATGGGCTGGAAGACCGTCGGGCTCCTCGCCCGAGGAACGGTGTGATGTGCAACGTCTTCGAACGAAGGAGAGGCAGTCTGGCCTTCCCTAACCTCGATCTCACGTACTTGAAATGTCCCCGGTTGGTTGTCGCTGTTGGTTACCGGGGTGAAGGCGGAATCGGGAACAACGTCATCGTGACGTGGGCTAGTCATGATCTTGGAATTTGAAAAGACGGAGCTTTGGTTCTCTGCTCGGAGGAACGGGGAAGCTTAATTCCCACAGACGACGCCATTGATCTTACTTGATCAAAAAGGAATCAGTGACCTGCCCCGCGTCGTTGATCCGCTAGCTGTTCACCGAAGATATGGAAGAAGATGAGGGTGTACCTGAAACACACTTCGATGTCAAAGTAAGTGACTAGTAGAGTGGGGGCAAGTACAGAGAGAGTAAGAGAGTTAAGTTACTTGACCCTCTAGTGAAGAGGGTATTTATAGTGAAGCCCAAACGCAGGGCCAACGGTTACCTAGCACTGGACTGGGTTGTCAGGCCCAATGTTAGTAACTGTTAGGGCTGACGTGGCGTCGTGAAGATCAGCACGTGGTCTTCACCCTAGGGTAACTGTTCCGCACTATCCGGGAGGAAGAAGACCGAACCTCCAAGACGTGGGTAGTTACTTTATGACGTGTCCCTGCATGAGGGACACGTAGAAAACGTTGGGGGGGAGGGGGGGGGGGGGGGGGGAAGGTCCGAGGAGCTCCCCGTGCAGGCTGGATTCTGCCTGACGACGGGGGAGAGAGAGGCTGGCTGGTTGGCTGCGATGCCCTGCCCGACAGCTGTTGGCTTGTGCCTAACAGGGGAGAAGGTTGTGCCCGACGGGCCTTCTGCCCGTCAGCGCGGTCATCTTGTGTCCAACCCCAGTGAGGTTTGGGCCTGCTTGGTTGTAGGTTAAGCGTCGGCTTAATCTAGAAGAATTCTATTTTTTAAAATAAATTTCTTTTAGAAATTGTGTTTTTAATAAATCTACATAACATATTTTTACGAGTAATTTTTTCTAAAAAATACTTTTTAATATAAATACTTCTATTTACTAAATACTTTTTCTAAAAATATTTTCTTACTATAAAAATATAAAAATATAAATACAAATACAAAAATATAAAATCTAATTACACATTTTAACCTTAAAAAAATAAATTTAATATTAATTATTTGCGAATTAATATTTTTTCTATTTGTTTTAATATTATACAATTTTACGAATTATTTTTGTTTTAAATTCTATTTTTTAAGATAAATTTCTTTTATAAATTGTGTTTTTAATAAATCTACATAACATATTTTTACAAGTAATTTTTTCTAAAAATATATTTTTTAATAAAAATACTTCTATTTACTAAATACTTTTTTCTAAAAATATTTACAATTCTGTTTTCTAATCTACATAACATTCTATTTTTTAAAAAATACTTTTTAATTTTTTCTATTTACAATTCTGTTTACTAAAAATATTTTTAAAAATTCTGTTTTTTCTAAAATATAATATATATTTTGGTTACTAAAATATAATATATATTCTAAAATATAATATATAATTTATTTACTAAAAGTAACACATTTAAAATATAGTATTTATTCATTATTTTTGAAAATCTATTTTTTCTAAAAGTTATTTTTTACAATTATGTATACTAAAAATATAATATATATTCTGTTTTTAATAAAAATAGCACATTTAAAAAGAAATATTTTATTTTTACAGAACAATAACCAAATAACCAAATACATAATCTTATAAAACCTAAATAATTTCATATATAATCAATAAATTCTATTTTTATACCACAACAACCAAACATTCCATATACAATATTATTCCTATAAATCTGAAAAATAAATAATTAAAATTACATAATACCTCACTGAAGCAACAATAAAGCTTAAATCTTTAATATTGATGAGCTACTCTTGAATCTTCCAAATCTTGATCTTCTGAATTAAAAAAAAAACTAAAAATTAATAATGAAAAAAAATATTAAAATAGAATATAAAACGAAAATAAAAAGAAAAAGAATATAAAGTAATAAAGAAAACATTAACCATACCTATGAAAACTTGTAGAATTTTGTGAAATGCAGTAAAGGAGGAGAAGGAAGCAGAGAAAGCAAGCAAGAAGAAGGAAGGAGAAGAAAGAAATGAAAAGCGTGAAGAGTTCTGGAGAGGTGGGTTATATATCACTAGAAATACAGAAATTACCTGCGGATTTTCCTGTGAAAATTTATTGTACCTGCGATTTTACCCACTAATTTATATTGTGAAGCATTATTTTCTGCGAAACTGAGGTAGCAGCAAAGTTCGCAGAAATTCCTGAGACTTTACCCGTGACATTTTCTTACGATATTCCTGCTACTTTACCTGTTAAATTAATTACTCATGAAGGTTTTAGTTAGAAACAGAAAATAGCAGGAAGAATTACAGGTAACACATTTTCTGCGGAATCTTTGTCAAAATCCGCAAGTAAATCCATAGAGAAACAGAGTTTTTAACTGAGGTAGCAGCAAAGTTCGCATAAATTCCTGAGACTTTACCCGTGACATTTTCTTACGATATTCCTGCGACTTTACCTGCTAAATTAATTACTCATGAAGGTTTTAGTTAGAAACAGAAAATAGCAGGAAGAATTGCAGGTAACACATTTTCTGC